AATCACAAAAAAAATAAAAAGAGAAAAATGACCATGGGTCCACCTCAGGAAGCTGCCTCACCACCACCTTCGGCTCTTTCGTTAGCTGTTTCAATTGGGAGATTGGGCTCCTCAAACTCAGTCACCTAGGCAACAGAAACCCCATCAGCACCCGACACCTCAACCTCTTCAGTTGCCACGGTCCCCTTCTTGTACTTAAGCCGCGGTGCAAAGGAATGCAAGTCGAGGTCTGGGCAAGCATCCTCGATTTGGTCCCTACAGTTCAAGATTCCTTTCACAAAGGTAGAGGCGCCCTCTCTCAACAACTCAGACACCTGGGCCCGTAAAGACGATAGCTCGGAATCCTTAACCTTCAGGTTTGCATCCTTAACTTTGATTTCATTCTACTTTGCCACAAAGTCTGCATCTTTAGCCTTGAGCTCGGCCTCCAAGCCCCATATCTGCGACTCTTTGAGCGTAATATAGTCCTGATGGCGGGAATTCAGCTCATCTTTGATCCTCTTCAGCTTCGCGACCTCGAAAATCAGAACCTGCAGCTTCCCCTCGACAGTGTTCTTGCTAACTGTCATGACATCGAGAGCATCCTTGGCCTTCTGGAGATCCCGCTCAAGGTAAAAATTCAGCATCTTCATGCAGGCGAACGACTATGAAAGAAAAAGGAGATCGGTCAACACAGGAAATAGGAAAGGGATTCAAGAACGACTAAGAGCATAGATGAAGCGAGAAGGTACCTCGGTCAGGCCTTGGATGATGTGCTAGATTTTCCTTTTAAAAGGAACCTCCATAGTCGATTGAGGATCTGACATGGAGATCAACTCAAATAGGGCAGCCACCGCGGCCTCGGGATCGTGAAGAAAGCCGCCCCCATGCACTTTAGACTTGGAAGGGGCAAATTTCCCCTTTCCATCCTTCGGAGAAATAGCTTTAGATGAGGCAGGATGGGGGGCTGAAAGGCCGACCTTGTCCACTGAAGCCCCCTCAAAATGGGTGTCGCCCTTGGAAAGTTTAGAAGAAGGCGGGGGCACGACAGCATCCCCTCGAGAGGGAAGGTCCTCACGTTTCTATTCCAAGGAAGTGGGTGTGACCTCAATGACCGATGCCTCCTTGGATGGCAGCTGAGATTCTTTCACCAATTTCCTCATCTTTCTCGATTGTTCGGTATCCGAGAACAGCGCCATGATCAGATCCTGGTCCATGTTATCCGACTGGGAGGCAGAAGATGGTACAATCTCTAGAACTCGGATAACAAGCGGTCCTGGCCAGTATTTAGCAAGGTTTTCGTCGGTCACCAAGTCAAACAAAGACCTCAACCCAAAGGCTTCTATTCTAGCAACTCGGGCTGCCTTCTACGCACCAAGTGTCGGGCAGAATTCTGTAAATCAGATCAAAAGTTAGAAACAAAAAAAAAATTAGGAGGTAAGGCAACAAAGGGAAACGCGGCTGGTAGATTAGCCTTACGAGTATTCCTTAGAACCCTCCAAAATCTGGGGACATGAGGAGTGTCGCCAGGTTCCCCTGACAGCTCCCAGGAATCACCCCTAACAAAAAAAAAACCTCGATTTTCATCCCTTATTGGAAGAAGGAAGCCCAAAGATCAGAGTCTTCGCCTTACCCCTTTTGGCAAAATACAAGAAATCCAAGGAAGGAGAGAACTTTAGTTGAAAAAGGGAAGCAAATTCTCGAATAGGGAAGAGAGAGGTTCTCACTCACAAACCAATGAACAAGAAAACCAACCAGGAGGCCCTAACCGTTGGGAAACAGCTGGGCTAGACAAACATTATAGAACTCAAGAACATTCTGGATAAAAGAATGGATCAGAAATTGAAGACCAGCCAGGAATGCGGACTCGAATAAGCAAGTGAGACCAGGGAGAGCAGAATTACACCTTTCATGCTTCCCGGGGGAGTTCAATTCCACGAAGTTCGGGAAGCGATACTTATGCCTCAATTCCTCCAAATCCTCATCACCAAGACATTTGGAGGTCCCCTCCGCACAACAGGTCAAGTCAGATGACTCTCGACGAATTCTCTTCTTAGGAACGGGGGGCGAAGCTAGGTCGGTTTTCCTCTTCTTCGGTTGAGCAGGAAAACCAGGAGGCAGAGCGAAAAGCGGCGCAGTTTCAATTGGAGGCACTGAGGATGAAACTCCGAGAATAGATTCAGGAGCCTCACCGCCAACGGAAAGAGAACAGCCACTAGAGGAAGCCGTGGTGGTCTCTTCAGCCTCCCCATCAACAAACTCCGACTTAAAAGAAGAAACGACAAACTTTCTCATCAAAAGGTTGAATCTTGCACTAGAGTGAAGGGAAGGTAAATGCAAGGCACAATCTACCAAAAACAAAGGTTTCAAGCACCAGGTCCTAAGTAAGGATACCCTCACCATTGAAGAATGGCCTACAAATCGCGAAAGAGAAGAAAAGTCATCGGAGTGTTCTCTAAAATAACTAAACCTCCAAATCAGGAACTGGAATTCAAAACCCCACCAGGGAGGGTTAAATGGATTCAGGTCGAAATAACAAAAAAGAAGGGAAGAAAGGCGTACCTCGTAAAATGCTAGAGAAAGAAGAGAACCAGAGACGAGGATGTCATAAATCGCCAAAAAGTCTAGAGCAAGACAGCATAGAGAGGGAAATGGGCATGAAGGAAGATGGGACTCGAAACCACAGAACGAAAAAGGCCAAAAGACCTTCCCCTAGAAGAACATATATGTATGCGTGAAACATTAAATTCATGACAGACAAATGATAGGACACATCACAAAAACTATACCCACGAGCTCACTCGATGGTGACACATGTGCATTACTATCCCATCATCGCCAGCAAACAGAGGCGTGGCCCAATCCTGATCAGGATCGATAGTTGAGCATAATCATCACTTAAAAAGCCCATAACGAGCCCAGGAAAGTCATTTTTAATCCCAGACTAAGAGATGGTAACATTTTCTTGACCTGGGGTTGGGGGGCAATTGATATGGACAAAATTCAAGGCCAGGGCTTTGATGGCCCAGAAACCTAACCAACCTAAGAGGTCCGGAGCAAAGAAAAAGAACTTAGCATCGGCAGAAAGCCTATAACCTAACAATCCAGGTCCAGTCCAAACCATAAGTAGTCCAATGGTTGAAAGTCCAGTCCAAGCTACTTTTGGATCGCCAGTGGGGACCACGTACCCTAAGGATCCAGAGGACCACTCCTGACACCTACGACAATCTCAGAGAAAGTGGAGATTGTGGTAACGACAGCCGCCAGCTGAACAGTAATCGTGGTGACATAAGAAGTGGGAAGGGGCAGAGAGAAGGACTGGAGGGATCAATACTAAGGAAAGACAGCTGAAGACCTTAGGAGAGACCCTAATATAAATAAAAAATGATAACCCTACAAGGGGGAGATCTTCCTGAACCCATAAGCATTCAAGAGCCTAGAAAAAGGAAACCAAGAGAGAATAACTATATACTCACCCTTTGTAAGAGGACTTCGGGTCCCTAGTTTTCAGGGGGCGCACCTCCGACCAATTAATATACAAACTCAGTGAGTAAGAGATTCCATTGATAATGGACGTAACCTTAGTCTATTGGCTAAAATGAATCACTTATATTCTCTGCCTAACTGATTACGAAAGATTAATCCATAATCTGCAAAACCTACACAGAACATCATCCTATTATAGTTGGGCTTAGGCCATAAATTCCGAGCACCATTAGTAATGATAATGGATTTAAGTCTAGACCACTTCAAGAGCTCAAAACCTTATGAGCTCACACAAGGCGACCCAACAATCTCATCTAGACAGCATTCATTGGGCTCAAATTGGACCATGACTCGGTACCATAGGGACCCAACAAAAAAACAAGTTTGGAATAGATGCCAACTTGACGTTGATGAGCCCAGTATAAAAAAAGGTATCAGCTCAGGCAATGGGATCATGGTGCCAAGCCAATTAGCGAGAGCTATAGCATAACACGCGGACAAGAGATAATGAGACAATACCTAACAATCTTGATAAATGAAAACCTATGGGTAGTGGGGATGACTCACGTATTCCAATCGGTGAGTAGTGGGTGCAAAAAAGACAAACGCATAAAGAACCACAAAATCAAAAAAAATGGATCAACACAAAAATCCTAACGGCCATATGTATAAATAACTAATGATACTCTACAGAGACTCATTCAAAAAAAACTACCCAACAGTAACTTATGCAATATTCTGTAAAAAACTTAAAGCCAAACATCTTATAACCACATTCTTCTTTTCCAAGGAATACATTCCCCATAGAGCAAAAGTCTCTCTTACTGTAAATGTACTCTTAGTCTTTCGGCTAAGACAAACTACTCATACTGTTATTTTAATCTTGCATTATACACATGCATGCATACACTCCTGCATACATACACATTCCGCTTCCCACATCCCAACTTTTTCAGTAGTCTAATCTAGTCGATTTTGAGCGCCATGAGATAGGAAGCATGAGCGAGAACTTCATAGACCAGTGTTAATGGGTCTGCTTTGGGCAATCCTGGACTTGGTGAAGTTGATTTGGCTTAATTATTATGGACTACCCGAGTCCTCCTCGCTGTATTCTGGATGCTCTCAACCTGTTCCGTGACCAATTTCAAATGACACCAGCTTAAATTTTATCTCTCACATAGAACCCGGGCTGACATTAACAAACAAATAAACAATTATGCATATTGAGAAAATTGACTTATAAAATTGGAGTAAAAAGACAAACAGACACACACACAATCTCGATATGGGTCAGATTGGCAAGAACGAATAGAAGAAAATTGAGAACCACAAAAAACAAAAAAAATAAAATAAGCAACAATCAGTTTCATTAATTTTCCTAAAATGAAAAATATATTGCATGGTAACTCTGTTCAACCATGCCATGAAATTCCAACAAAAAATTGATTTGTAATCCCAGCTCTCACTTCATACAGAGCAAAATGCGCAAATTTGTTGAATTAACAAACTCACAAGCTCTTAATTTACGACAAGAGGGGGGGGGGGGGGGGGGACCCCAAAAAAAAAAACACGTACGTAATCATCCTTAGCACAATTTCTCTGCTGCAAAATAAAACAACACCAGCCTTTCATAAGCCAGAGAGTTCAAAATCTTACTTTTGTCGTCTGAAAGAATTTCATGAAGTCATTTTTTACATCTACTACAGAAAATATAGGGTGGTATTGTGACTGATTGTTCGGATAATTTCGATTGCAAAATGCATCGTCATTTAAAGGATTCTGTCCTGAAGGTCTGTCATCAAAGTGGATGCCAGAGAGCTGAGCTTCTTCCCAGTTTCTCCCGCAATATTCTTAAGGGAAGATATATCCTGTTGTGCCTGGAAAGAAAAAGACCGACTCAAGGTCAGAATAATAATACTTCAACTGTAAATCAAAAATTTACCACGAAATCCAAACATTAAATAAATGAAAGAAGCTAAGAAATATAACATTCCACTAACATACCCAAGAGCTGGAAAACCACAGATTGCCAAGTATACCTGGAAAGAGAGTCGGTTGAGGAGATCACTTGCTGTAAGATCAATAGAGGAAATATCTGCATCGTGACCAAAGAGATCGGCACTAGAGATGGCTGTTGAACCCTTTAAACAAGAAACAGAGAAATCAAATGAGTCAAAAATCTATAGTCTTTGAAGCAATTCATACCATCCATTTCATAGATAGGTTTGGGCAATTTATAGCTAGATAATTTAGTTGAACTTAAATGTTGAGCATCAACGGCAATACACAAATTCCTACACGTGACAAAAAAGGTTTTTTAGAAAGGCACACAATGAGAATATATGAAAATGGAAAAAAATTCAGAGCCCAAAAACTAAGGTACTCTGATGAAGCTACTTACTCAAATCATTCGATAAACATCAGTCATATTATACAAATAACAGTGCAAACTTTTTTGACACAACTACATAACAATCTTGACTAGATTTTTATATTGCATCCTGAGAAAGCCAATCATGTAAGCAATTCGGAGTTAAGACTAGCTATTGCATTAATACCACATGCAGAAAATCTATTGTCACACAGGAGTACGAGGATGGGGAAGAGAAGAAAGGAAAAAATGGGGGGGGGGGGGATGAGCGAATAAGACATGCTAATCATCTCAAACATGCTTGCCACTAAGTTTTAATCCAGGTAACAATTAAAACTTTACTGCTGAACAAGTGGATCGACCACTTTTATAAATTGAGTAAGGTGGAGAGGTCCCCAGTTCTTTGTGGAAGGCTTTATCAATTATGACATAGTAGGTTAGGTTTCCGAATGGGTCTTGAGTGGACTAGAGTAGAGAAGAGAATGGTAGTCGTAGATCAGGATCTCCAAGGTGTGCATGAGCAAGGGGCATAGCCGAGTAGTGCTTAGTTTCCTTGGAAGAAAAACTCAAATACCATATTGACTTTCTTTCGCCCTACTTCTATGGATAGATAGTTTAGGTTGGAGAGAGTGCCTTTCTAACATTCAAAGCTGCGCAAGGCGGCCCCCTTGATGTTAAATTCGAACATGAAATTGATCCTACACCTCATTAGCTAATATCATTTCTGGAAGAAAAAGATGAAAGAACTTACCATACGAATCCATCAAGGATGCCCCCATTGTATATAATATCTAAAAGACAAGTAGGGACTTACATGACGGAGAATTTCTCGAGTTACTGTCTCTTCCGTTGATTCTTGATAATTTAGTTTTGAGTCAGTCTTCCATTATAAAATTAGATGAATCATCTCTTCTTTGGGGGACTATTCTTATGAATCATTCTCCAAGTCTTCGATTTAAAAACAATTGTTCCAATTTTTTAGTCCTCAAACATGATTTGGAAGTTCAAGACACCATTAAGCGGTCAATATTTAGTTGGTTATTGCACCTAAGAAACTTAACACTAATGATAAGATTAAAAAAAAAAGAAGAGTTATGTCCAATATCAATGGTGTATATGCTGTAAAAGTGAAAAAGACTTGGGTTCATTGCCCAAATGGCATGCAGAGGAGTTTATGCATCACTTATTCTCACATTGCCCATCGCCCAGTTGCTTCAAATTTGAGGGATAGATTGTTATTGTTTGTGAGAGTCCCGCGGGGTGTTGTGGATCAGTAGGTATAATTTTTTTATGGGTTTGGATTTTGACACAAGTAATATAGCTAAGATACTTATGTAGATGTGCAGTTCTAGAAATGCAGGATAAAGTATGGATTCAAGTGTGTGGGTGTGACAAGAAATATTGAAAATTTTTCTTTTAATTGTCATTTCAAATTTGTGCTTTTAAAGAACTCCCACCTCTTTTGTATTCCTTCTTCTTACTATAACATCTGGTTTTTTATCCAAAACAATTGTGATGGTTCATTAACAAAAGAAAGGTCACATACTGAGAATTTCTGCAGGGACGCTGAAGCATCCGAATCGGCTTTGTTCTGATCCCCAAAAAACTGAGATGATGAAATAGCTTTCGCATTTGAGAACTTCTTCCTTGCTTCATCAGTTTCCTGAATCTGATAATGACAAGATGTAAATAAAAAATGCTAAAGAGGAAAAATGACTCCTACACTGAACTGAACCATACTCTTGTCACAAGATACTAGTCCTCAATTGTCACAAGAGGAAGGAAGAACGAAACATAAAAGAAGTGCCAAAGAAAGCCACTAAAGTTCAGGCAAACAAAAAAAGCATAAAATTCTGGGGACATGCAAGGTTAAACAATGAAATACTCAGATATGTGATATCAATCTTCAGACCAAAGCTCATTCATCTAACAAATAATTTGCATCGATGTGGGGTTTGTTGACTCCTTTACCACTAGAAAGCATAAAAGATATAAGCTTTTATATGACTGGAGGTGTAGGCTACAAGCATTTCTGACACCACTAACAAATATAGGGAAAAAAAATTCAACAACGTAGGAAAGAGTTTCATCAAATGAGCAACCAAGAAAGGGTTGTAAGACCTATTTGAGCATCAAAAACCAAAACTTCCCCTCAACAAGTTGCCTCGTATCACTTACTTTTCAAGCACAAAATTTTGCAGAAGATCCAACATATTTGCTACTTACAAGGTGAAAAAAAACAAAAAGTAGCTTATTGATACACACAAAATTACACCAGAAACTTCTAAACCCAAGAATTCAACATCCATACATTAATATGAATAAATTAAAGAGAGGCAACCGTGAGAAACATAATTGAAATTTCAGCTTCCTTTTTCAAAGATGAATCTGACAGGCAATGGTTGCAACCGATTGATTAATTTTAGGTACACATTTGGCAGAGGGAAGTAAAGAATATAAGACCAATTTTACACAAAACACTTAAATCTCACTCGAAAATTTCATGTTGAGACCAATCGCACAAGTGAAAGTAGGCAATCTACCACATTAAAATCAACAAAACAATTGCAGTTGCAGACCACCCAGAAGAAGGGGATCAAAGAGAGAAGAGAGAAAAAAATTGACCCAAGTCCTAGTCCATCCAGAATTTTAGGAGTGAAAATAAATTCTAACCTTGAAAAACATCAAACAGTCTCAACAAAAACTTGTACCAAGTTGGAGGTGTAAATTTGGGGCGACAAAGTAATTTAAGTTACCCTGCAGCATCGGGCTGGAGACTCTATATATTTTTTTTGTTACTAGAGTTTGGGTAGTAAAGCTCACAAGAGATATCTCTGTCAACTGATGAGCTGCACAATAGCATTGATCTAGTTCTGACAAACAATGATAAGTAAATTCTAAATCATACAACTTACTTGCACTTTCGATGAATATGAGCTTGTTTTCTTTGAGAATCCACTATCCATCCCATATTCTGCAAAGAAACTAGATGACTTTGGTGGAGATACATGACTAAGCACATGTGTGCCCCCAGAATTCATCTCCGCAGTTTGAACATTATCTTTGTATTCAAAACGAGATGCCAAAGATGAACCAACTGTAGGGTTGCTATTTACAGAGGTAAAAACTTGTACAGGTGGTTCTTCTGGCTTCTGGTCATAGAGGCTTTCACTTGGCTGCATTAGGAAAAAAGTGATTAGCTACTACAGTGTAGAAAGGAAGCTTCTATTCAATACCCAAATCAAACAACAAAATTAACTTTCAGAAACAAAATTTCTTGATAATAACAAACTTCTAAGTCAACATATGATATTTACCCTAAACTAGATGTTCATAGCAATAAAGCTAGTCCCTACCTTAGTAGTAAGCTTTCGAGCACCAAGCCCCGCACTCTTGCTAGTTTTCTTTGCACCGAGAGGCTTCTTAACAGAAATGCTAACAACAGTTTGAGGAGCTTTTGGTGAAGCAGATACATAAGTAGTTTCAGACTTTCCAGAATCAATTTCTTTTGGGGCTCCATTGGTCTTGATATCAGGAAATCCATTTGCAGCTTCTACAGACTGAGTACTAACTGGTGATGATGGCAAACCTGTCTCTTCGGCAGAACTTCTAGCAACTTCTTTTGAAAGTAATTGCTTGTATAATTCAGCAGCCCTTGAGGTATACTTAGCCTCAATCTTGCCTCCCTCGCTCCACCCATGCTGCTTAAAGAAAACTTGAGCACGGTTATTACCCCCAAAGCTCATCATCTTTAACTGCTCTGGAGTCCATGAATCTAAATTGGTTGACCTAAAAATAAACAATAGTTCTGATCAACAAGGAATCGGTAACTTCTTTTCAAGGTGAAAATATCCTTACTAAAATGAAAAGAGAGGAAAATGCCAATACGAAAATGGATGACTCAAACAACTTTCTGCATTAGAAAACTTTACTGCTTTGCACCAGGTATATGACAGGCAACAATTGCGTTCTGTTAATAATTGAGGGGGGACAAAACTGATCAAGTAATCGCCAAATCAATTTTTTCTTCACTGGTTTCATGATTTGGATCTGAAGTTTGACAAAAAACACAAATTGCTGCCACTAATTTCGTCAATGAGTGTTTATGAAACTAGAGGCGGACAAAAAGAAGTTACATATATGCATGAAACTGGCATAATTAAACCAGAAATAAAACTAAAAGACACTATATGTAGGTAATTTTTTTTAAAAAAAACCCTAACAATCAACAATTAAATAGAACACAATTGTATTTCAAAAATCACCTAACAAAGCTGACGTGAACACCAAGACTGCGATGAACCGCCGAACAATCTATACACAGGAAGATGCCGTAGGGAACCGACGCCCAAGTTGGATTCTTTGCATTGCAATCGAAACACATCTAGAACAAAAAGAAAAACTAATTAAATCGATAAACGAAATCACAATCAAACAAAGATCCATAGAAGCAATTTCCAGATCTGAATCAGATCTTAACTATACCTACCAAATCTAACATTAAAACAACAAAATTCAAATAAAATTCCGATAATCGAACAGAAAGAGGACACAAAAGAGAGTACCTTGTTATCAGACTTGGCTTTGAGCTTCCTAAAAACAGCGTTTTTGTCTGTAAAGATCTCGGAAGCCATGGCTACAGAGAGAAACAGAAGGAAAAAAAATGTAGAGAGAAAGTGAAGGGAAAGAGAGGGTTCCGAGAGGAGGAAAAGATCGGAGCGACGAGAAGCCTCCTCAAGGAACAAAGCGAGCACAGCAATCGAGGCAGAGAAATAAATGTGAAACCGCAAATTAAAAAAAATGAGATGATTTAATTACCGAAAATGACCTTGTCGATCTGATTTAATTACGTGTGATGGCTCTCCCCGTCTCCTGTTCAAATCGTAGTTGGTTATTGATGTCTCGTTGCTGTCTTTGGTTGTTAGAATGACGTAAATGTCCTTGTCGGAGGTTGTAACTGATGGTGGAGGTTGTCAGGTCAAGTGAAAAGCTGTCATGACAGTTAAAAGTACCAACAAACTTTGGGGGTACAATTTTCTTCAATTTTTTGTTTTTTAATTTTCAAATCTAATAATAATCTCGCATATGAAAATATTCTCTAATATTTAAAATTGAGTATTTATCATATAGTATTTATACTTTAAATAATAATTTATTATTATTTTTTTATTTAATTTCTCAATTTAATAAACACAAAAAAATAAAAAAATTATAGGGGAGAGAGAAAAAGATAAGTAAATAAAGATTATTGGGGTTATCTGATATTATAGAGTGTGTTAATTAAATTAATATTTTTTAATGAAAAAAATAAAATAAATTTTATATTATTAGATCAAAATAGATAAAAATTAGATTAATCTTAATTATTATTATATTTTTATAAATTAAAATTTTAATTTGTTAACTTTTTATAAAATGGATCTTTCATCGATTTATAGTAGATAGGGATTTGAGTCCCTAAATCTGTGCCCATAAATGACAGATTCATTGTGGACTAGTAATTTTTTTATTTCCTACTTAGAAGCAAAATTTCCTTGAAAAGCTTGATTTTTAAGGTATATGAGTTTTTTTTCTTTTTTTTCGGTCAGGAAGGTATATGAGTTGACTCCTTCGTGTTGAAGTTAATGCTAGCATTTTTAACTTTTCTATGACTGATAGCCCAATATCCAAGATTTTTGTGCCATTGAAGATTAGATATCCGTAATTTTATTTTAATATCACGGTTAGAAAACCTATTATCCTTAAGTTTTTGCTATTTTAAAATATCAACAAAAATAAAAAAAAAATTTATTGACAAAAATAACCTTAACAAAATAACTAATGTCTACCGTATCTTTTTATAGTTAATAACATTATTAAATTATGTGTAATTGTCACATTTATGTGGATTGAATTGAGTCATTGATTGTTATTTTAATTTTAAAAAAAAATATGGTGATGGTTGAGCTGCTATATTAATAGCTCTATATCTAAAGTACTAATAAAATCAATCTCACTAATTTGCATGCACTTTGTGCCATGGAGTTGAAATTTGAAAAGAACCCATTTAAATATTAATCCATCTGGGAGATAGTCATTGACAGTCCACTTTAACGCTATTTTTACATTAAAGAACTTTGAAGGCTTGAATTTTGGAAAGATGAATGGGGTGAGTGCCAAAAATAACTCTTTCACTATTTTCAATTGATGTAGTTTTAAAAATATTATTTGATTTATTCTATTATTTGCAGGATAATGACTATGAATTAACTTCATATATGTTGCCGGTCAAATTAATTGTTTTTTGAGGTGAAAGGTGCGACAGTTGGGACCGATGGTGGGAATTTCATTTGAGAAGTCTAAAATGAATTTTGGTTGGAGAGTTTGAAACTGATAATTTAATGAAGTATTGAGCAGGATAGTTGATTGATTTTAACATCCTTAAGAAAGACCATATTTCATGGTTACATCAATTTGTTGTTTTTCTATCTCTCTCTCTTGAAAAGCCTAAGGTTGTCGTTGCAATGGTATGCAGAGTATGGTTTTCATATCATTATCCTGAATATTTTTTATTAGATAATAATATTATGGTATGAACAAGTTTGATAATATGAAGATCATGTGTCTTTAAGTTGGAATCTAGCTTATTATTTATGTTTCAACGTAAGGTTTTTCAAGAATAATTTGACCAAACAATATTTTGCTAAAAATAATAACTCAAAATAATTCACATGCAATACACGTGTGTATCAATAGTCAAAATAAAAGTACATACCATTAGGGGTGTCAATTTTATTCGTTAACACGAACCCGACCTGATACAAAATTTGAAAATAATACGATTAATTGACATGAGTAATAAATGGTCAAATTAAGGTTCGACATGAATAACATGATTAATTAGTACTGTAAATAAAAAATAATTATTTAATGAGTATTGTAGAAAAAAAATAAGAATTTTATAATTTTTTAAATAGTATTATATGAGTTGTTATCGAATTAAATAATTTTTTATTAACACGAACTCAACATGTACCAAAAGTGACACGACATGAAAATAATATGATACGAAGACGACACGACACGATTGACAACCATACATACCATGCCTCACGCTTGTCCTTAACTTTTGATGATACATGAAAATGATTTTAACTAAATATGAGTTCGGAAAGGGAGGTCAGATAAAGAGCCTAAAGCTCAGAGGCCCAGACCCAAGCTCCCTTTGAATAAAAGAATAAAGGGGAAGAGAGAGGAACAACTGGCTAACAAGAGGCATCTCCAAAATAACATAAGACAGTAATTAAGGCACGAAACTCTCAACCACTCAAGATTCTTTCCCAAAAATTAAGGGGAATCCCACATATCAAGGGCAAGGATCTCACTGCAGATCCTATAGATATAAGAATTAGACTACAAATACTGGACAGTGCCTCTATCGAGAGAGGGAGAAACCCCGATTGTATGAGAAAGACTCTGTAATTTATAGCAACCATCAATATAGATCCAAGGAAAGAGACTCCTTTTAAGAGTGTACTAGTTGAGCTCCCGAATTCGACGAACCACTATATTTTCGTTGTGCAAGTCATCTCAACTCTCCCAAGAACCTAATCATAATACACACGAACTTTGTAACACTTCAAAACAGGCTAATCTTTATAATTTGCACATTCTACACGTCCACTTATTAACACCATCAACTTTAACGTTACAATAAGCTATGCCAGAAGTTTGCCGAATTTCAGGTCAAAGGGAGGCCTAACCGGGAAGCTGGTCACTTAAAAAACTCATTACTTAATAAGAATTTTGTAGGCGTGATATGCGGACAAGTGTCACAACACACTACAGAGAATCATGGGGGTGCCGTAGAGCTTAGGTCTGCTCATATGGGTGGATATCAAAGTGAGATCTGATAGCTTTCGGCCCAAAGGGCCATGAACTAGCAAGAAGAGTAGAAATTTGGAACCTTGAAAGCTTGGATGAAGGACCTTAGGGCCCGTAGGAGTGGCTATTCCCTCCTGTTGTGCACCTTAAGGTGTGGTATTTGACACCCCCCTCCCCCACCTCCTGTATGTTGAGCCTGGGCCTGGGATTTTTAGAGCTAAGTTGACGATGGGCTCTTATACACAGAATGCATGCAATTGATTGCGTTTATGAGGTTAAGGAGAGAAAAAAAGATACGATTTCAATGCCGGAAATAAAGCATAGAGTTGAGGCTAAGTAAATAATGTGTTTAATACCAGATCGATCTTTTTAATCGATTGAGGGAATGGGATTGATGATCGTGCAAGACCCAAAAGAATGGGCCAATACTACTTTTGCCATAAAAAACTTGTTTGTGTTACAAATTACCGAGGATTTTTGTTATTACAAACAAAAAGAGCCCTTAACATTTCTAGGCCAAGGCCCTTTTGTAAAAATAGTTATGCCATGCATCCTTCTAGCTTTATGGAATTAACCAATCAAGCCCATTTACATCAAACTAAGACTTGAAACTTACCACAATATGGCGCATAAAGTTGATGGGCTTTGGGCTAAGTTCTGGGTCATGCCCACTCTTTCTTGTTAAAACTTTTTAGATGAATTTGGAGGCCGGTCTATGTGGGCTAATTTAATGATAAGTCCATAAAATAAACTTGTTTAATATTAAATTTATTTGGATTTCCATTATCCAAAATATTCTCATTAGTTATATTTAATTACAATAAATTTGAAAACTAACAATTTCTAAATTTTAGAAGTATGACTACCATTAAAATTCTCTCAATCTCATATCTATCTATATCCATCTATAGAATAGGACTATTTATTTCTCTCTCTCTCTCGTATATATATAACATTGAATATAAAAAAAAGTAATATTGAATATTAATATTTGAAAAAAATAACAGTAGTAACATGGTCAACAAAAAAAAGAAGTAACATTGAATATTGATATTTCAAAAAAATAGTAACATTCAATATTAATAATAAAATACTCAAAAAAAAAATAGTAATATGTTCAACAAAAAATAGAATATGCACAACAAAAATAGTAATATGAAAAAAAAATAGTAACATGCATAGTAACATTTAATATTAAATTAACCATAGTTTTTTCCAGCAAAAGAAAAAAAAATGGGAGAGAGAGAGATGGTAGTGATGTCAAATTTAAATTTGAATTTTAGATTTTATGAAAAAAAATCTTCTATAAAGTGTTAATCAAATATGACTGTTTAGAAAACTAATTAAATGGTGAAGATCGTTTTTTAAATCATTAGAAAGACATTTTAGAGTTTTAAAAATGTAGTAGATTTAACTACTTATTAGTAAGATTAAAAACGGACTTACACCTAAATAAATTTCTTTGGCGGATTAAAATCATTATAAGTCTCATTGAGGAGGACTCAACCCCCATTTTCACAACTTCTTACTTGAGCCTAATTCAAATTATGCAACTAGTTTTATTGAAGTTTAACGAGGACAACTTAGTGTACAAGATTATTGCCACTTTTTCCTGATTCCTTCCTCCATTTAAAATATCATGTCAGCAATGTAATACAACCGCTTTGGTGAGATGAGATTATTTATTTCAAGCACTCCATATTGTACATTTCTAGAGGGAAAATGAAACTATGGTTTCATTTTCTTCAACATACTCGAATGAACAACTCGACATTTAGATTAAAAGCATGTGAAAAGAACCCTCCATATAACCCCCATTGTACAGCTGCTTTTGTAATGAAGCAAGTGGCCGATTTTTCAGAGTCTAAAAAAGAAGATCTTGTGGCCCAAATGGTT